GCTACTTCTTCAATCAATGGTCCTATTTCTCTCTCTTTTCTTTTCATTGTGCGATCAGATAAGGGTGGTATATTCATTGCAGCCAGCCAGTTGGACACGTGTATGTCCAATCCCAGAGTGCAGCATAGCTGTAATATCAATATTATAAATTATAACATAAAGAATGATGACAATAGTATTTAAAACGCAGACCATGATGTTCAAGCCGACTTTAATTTTGGTAAAAATCATAGACAGCAGAGTTTCTTTTATATGATAGTCCAAGATATGTTATTTGTTTTCCACATGAGGACAACTGTTCAGCATTAAAACAAGTAAAGTTTCAGTTTTCATTAGCTGTAATAACTGCACATTACATGGATAATTATTCAATTATCGTAAGTAGTTGCAAAAAGAATAGTAAACCTAAGAATGCCTTGTGAAAAATTACTCATTCTGTTTTGTCAAAGATAGTATGTGAACAGCGTTTATGAGATTGTAAAACATGCAAAGCAGGCGGGTGAAGACAATGGGTTAGGAGTTTCAAGGGAGCGAGTTATATAGGCTGAAATAGATATGACTATGAGGCACTACTCTACTGAGGTCTTTCATATCTTATTACTTGGTTTACGAATTAAAAAATGCTGATAACCTTTCAGAAATAGATGTACATGTTCTGCTCACATCTTTCATTGTATTTCCCCCGTACAAACACATTGTCCCAAAATGACATTTTATTCATTTATCTGATCGATGAAATGGCTGATCTGTTTCGTAAACCAAGTTATACAATATTTCCTTTATTTACTTGGGTAAAACCCCATCACCACTGTGTAGTTGATGATACTTACTTCTGGTATTGCATACTGTAGTTAAAATATTTCATAAAAAATATTCATACATTTTTAAAACAGATTTATAGAATGTATTGTTTTTATAATAAATAGCCTATGACATTCATTTGATGGACTTCAAAATAATAATACTGAAAGTTAAAACTTTAGTGTTGACATCATAAATATGTACACCTCGGTTACCAGTTGCAGCATTCTTGTGACTTTTCCCGGTAGGAACGCTGTTTAAAAAAACCCACGGTATATACAAGAGGCTAGCAAGTCCAATCCTGGCCCCGATTTCTCGAAACTAACTTAAGTCTGAGTTTTGACTTAAATTAGAGTTTTTACTCAAATTTGAGTGAGTGAGTGAGTTGGGTTTAACGCCGCTTTTAGCAATATTTCAGCAATATCACGGCGGGGGACACCAGAAATGGGCTTCACATTGTACCTATGTGGGGACTCAAATTTGAGAAAACGCAGGAAAATGCATTTTCCAGAACGAACTGAAATCGATATTAAACACAAACATGGTAGACAATTTGAGTTTGGTTGGATAGATTACTTAAGTTGTTTGGGCCTTTTTATTTTAAAAATGCAGTTGAGTTAAAAATTCATCTGTTTCAAATTGTCAAACTCAGTTTGAAATTTGAGTAAAAACGTAAGTTTGTTTTCAGAAATCGGGGCCTGGTTTCTGACTCAATGTTATGTAGAAGCAGAGGGCTAGAGCACTCACTGCAATAGAGTCCTTGCACAGCGTATCAAATTCCAAGACCAGTGATGCACGAAAACTGGGGCTCTGTCAGAAACAGCTGTTTCTTGCAAATCAACACTCTTATCGGCAAGGTTACTCCCAAAGCACTTGTATGTTGACTGCCTAATTTTGTTTTCCCTCTTAAGCTCTGTTCGCATGGAACCCAATTTGCACATGTGTAAACTTGCACCCTAATGTATATTTACACACGTATGCAAAAGCAAATGTGCTATGCGTTCGCATGAAGAAAAAGGGGTGTGTGTATTGTTAGGTGAGTAAACAACTTGTTGCCATGTGAACATTCAGTCTCTAACCTTTGCCAAGGAAGGATACCGAAGAAGATTTAGGAGACAGTTCCCTTGTCACTTAAGTTTGGCTCTGGACCGCCTCCGTGGTGTAGTTGTTAGAGCGTCCGCCAGGAGAACGGAAGGTCGCGGGTTCGATCCCCGACCGCGTCATACCAAAAGACGTTAAAATATAGTACTTGTTGGTCCCTGCCTGGCGTTCGGCATAAATGGGTACAACAAGGACTGGTCGGCTCGGAGTCAGTATAATGTGTCTGAGTGGGGTATTCATGCTTCACTGCAGCATGGTATCTCAGTGGGCTAGCACTATAAAACCAGCAGCTTCAGTCTGGGCTAGTACAAGCATCCGCACATACACATATACACGTCGTCATATGAGCGAAATATTCTCAAGCACGACGTTAAACCAAATTTCACCTGACCTAAGTTTGGCTCTGGTTGGTGGATTATATCATGAGAAGAATGTATGGAAGATTCACAGTCCAACAACCTGGTGGGATCATATCTACAGCAACGGAACAGATACAGAATGGATCCAGAATTTCCGAATGCACAGAAACCTGTTTCAAATACTCCATGACCAGTTGAAAGTCCACCTTCAACCGCAAGATGGATGGGTTAGGTCCCCAATTTCATCAGAGAAAAAGCTTGCAGTAACTTTGTATTGGCTCGCCTCTACTGGAGAATACCGTACTGTGGCTAACCTGTTTGGCGTGGGCAAATCAACAGTATATAACTCTATACACCAAGTATGCCAGATCCTAGTGGATCACTTAATGGAGACCTACGTTATCTTACCCAAGGATGAGGAGCTGGATCTTGTGATCCAAGGTTATGAAAGACGATGGAATTTTCCAAACTGTGCTGGTTCCATAGATGGCACACATATATCAATCAAGTGTCCCAAAGAAGCCCACGGCGATTACTTGAACGGAAAAGGCGCTTACTCAATTGTAATGCAAGCCTTGTGTGATCATCAGTATGTATTCCGTGATATAAACATCGGTTGGCCAGGCCGTGTTTATGACGCAAGAATCTTTGTAAATTCGGAAATCTTTCACAAAGGCGAGTCTGGAAAACTGTTCCCTCAGTTTCATAAAAGGGTAAACCTCCCAGGAAGAGATTTTAACTTCCCAACTGTTATTCTCGGAGATGGAGCCTACCCTATGACGAAATGGCTTCTGAAGCCATACAGCAACAGAGACAGTCTGACGGAGGAGCAAAAGGTATTCAACTACAGGCTCAGCAGGGCTAGAATGACTGTGGAAAATGCCTTTGGTAGGTTGAAAGGCCGTTGGTGATGTTTACAAAAGCGTTTGGTCGTGGATGTAGAGTTTGCATGTACCGTTGCTGGTGCATGTGTTATACTACATAACCTTTGTGAGCTGAATCATCAAGGATACGACGAGTCTGGGAGAGAGGAAAATAACCAGGGTGATGAGTGTGAGGTCCGTGATGTTGACAATCACACCTCGGGCAAACTGTTGCGTCAACATCTGACAGAAGCCTTCTGTCTTGGACTACTTTAAGGCTAGATAGCCTTGAATGATAGAAGAACAGTACAAACTGAAACAACTTGCCATACTAAGGACAGTTGTTGTACTCCAAATATTTGTAAACATTCTGTTTTCGTTTTGTTCTTTTGTCCAGAATATAACACATTTGCTTTAGACTGAGGATAAAATAGTTTGTGGGTTTTTTGGATTTGCTTTTTCCTTAAGAGTTCACAGTTGAGTGTATGTAGAGAAGACCGTTTCATTACCAGAGATTTTCTTAAAATCCAAAGACGGCAGAGTGCTATGCTACACGTGACTATAGTGTAGTATCACCCTGGGTTCGTCAGTATCAGCTGCAGCTCGCAGGTTTCACTGTATCACATAAATTGGTGATACATGCTTTCCTTCTGCACTAAACTGGCACCGCCTCGATATAACTGAGTGAGTGAGTGAGTTAAGATTTAAAGTCACATCGGCAATATTTCAGCCATATCGTGACTAAAATTAGTTCTAAATTCATAATTCATACATATAATATATAAAACCCTGTCAACGAAGGACAGTAAAACCACTAGATTATCACAGATTGAGTTAAAACAAGCTAGCATATATCTTTAAAAGTAGAAAAATATTTCTGGACAATAATGTAGAAATGGGCTATAGATCGCAAACAACTGAAGGTAGATCACCATACCAGGAACCATGGGAACTTACAGTGCCTTTGCTACCTTCATGGACCCTAGTTGGATTTACACCATCTCTTCAGCCGCTGGCGATTGTAGGACAAGTTTAGCCGAAATTTAAAGGAACAAAGATACTACGTTTAAAAATCGGGTAAGCAAAAATTTAACTTTGAAAGTTTTGGGACTTGCGTACCCTCTCAGGAGGACAATAATTTTACGATAGTATAACCCCCTTCGAGGATACAGCCGCTAACAATCGCAGTTGCAAATTTATACTACCATGTTTAAATTCCAATTATCTATTTACAAATCCTCTACATAACTGAAAAAGTGTTGATAGTGGCGTTAAACTTCACTTCACTCATTCATATAACCAGTTTAGATAAAATTATTAAGTTCATTTAATAAGGTTGTAAAATCGTATTTGTTTCATTTACCTTAATTTCATAACTACTTTGAACGGCTGAAATGCGCTCCCTGCAGTTTGAATGACAAATACAAATAATTCAGTAGGAATAAATTTTAGTAACATCCAAAGAAAAGTAAACTTTGATGTAATAGCAAAATAACTCTAATCTAAACATATTATCGTAACTTTTTTTGGTCCAATTAGGTATTGTGTGCAGAATAAGTAATCATTATCTTTGAAGCTCACTGAAAAAAAGAGCAAAATAAAGTCATGTTTTCTGGTCCACTGATGAAAGGTAAATAAATGAATCCATTGTTGACCACATCATACATCAGATTATGCTTGTTATTCTCTGATGATTCCAGCCGTCAAAATCATAAAGAAGGAACGACATCTGTTCTAGAATTGTGAATTAAGGTGACCACGTCGCCTTGGAAACTACTTGCATGGATGCCTCTGTATCTGGAAATAACCATACACTAATATAATAAAGTCAAACAAACACTAAACATTAACGGAAGCTACAGTGAACAAGTTCATTTCACATGTTGTAATATGTGCTTCCACTAGTGTCATATGACACATCAGATCCCGGATCATCGCCACGTGAGGTTCCTGGCATGGAGCTGGGAAAGTTCCATGGAAAGTGGTCTTGACCTTGACCCATTTTGCCAAGAATCATGTTCAATTGATGCTGATTTGTCTCTCGCTGCATTCTCTCCTCTGACTCTCGATTACTTTTCTCCGTTTCAATTTTCAACTTTTCCATCTCTAGTTTTTTCATTTCAAGCTCAATTTTTCTATTTTCAAGGTTGACATACTTATCTTCAATCTTCTCGTTGCTTTTCGTGAATCCAGACATTACAGTTGTCATGACCACCTCAAGTTTGCTTTTCTTAGCTTTCTTGTTCCATTTCTGTGAACTCTGACTTTGCTCATTATCTTTAGCTGAAAACAATGAGCGTTTTCGTGGTGGCTGAATTTTTGGAAGAGCATCATCTTTTTCAAGGTTATCTGCACTGATTCCAGGACTTGGCTCTTGCTCATGGTCAGAAGGAAGAGGTTTATCCTCTTTGTCTGCCTCTGTATCACCAGTAACCCCAGTCACTTCTGAATCAGGACCAACCTCTGTATCACTAGAGACGTCAGTATCTATGTCATCATGGGTTTTATCTGTTGTAGAGCTTTCAATAATCTTCACAGGAGAGGACGCGGGTCGACATCCCAGTATTTCATCAAGTTTCTCAAAATGCTTGCAAAGTGAACGGCCTCTACCACTCTTCTTCAGTTTTCCCTTCCACATCCTGTAGCTTCTTTTGAGAGTGTGCATTTTAACCTTACATTGTTCTGGTGTCTTTTGAAATCCATAGTCCTCAAGGGATGAAGAAATGGTTTTATAAATACTTGTATTGTTGGTTTTAGGATTATCGAGGCTTTCCTCCACATGTAACTCTTGCCAGATGTTCAGCAAGGCTAGTGTTTCATCGTCTGACCAGGACGCGCCCCGCCTCTTTACCCTCTCTGTCATTTTCGAAGTATGATGCACGGAGAAGGACTGTGAGAGTGACGGCAACAATTCCCGCCAAAATTATAAATAGATCTTATGCAATACTGGCCTATAAATAAGTTTTGTGAAAATTTAGCTTTCTGGACATGTTCATTTTGCACACGTGTAAATTTATTATGCGTTCGCATGGGCCAGTTTGCTTACCATGCAAATTTGCACATGTGTAAAAGTATATTTACACCTGAGTCAAATCAGATGCAAATTTACTCATAGTGCAAATTTGCACATGTGTATTTTATTTGCATACATATGTATATTTACATGGTGTGCAAATGGGTCTATGCGAACGGGGCATTAAATGCCTTTGAGGACATGAAACGTCCCTTTCGCGATCTATCCATCGTTGTTGACAGTTCCCAACATTATCAGTAAGGGGAAGTAATTACTATCAGTAGAATTTACCCCGAGATATGGAAAAGATAACTCTTTACCGGATACACGCTGTTACATGCGCAAATTATCGGTGTACAAACAATAGTATGGAACCTCCTTAAGGAAAGCAAATGGAGCCAGACACAGTGGCCAAAACTCGTGTCATCTGACATAGAAGACACTGGGCGAAATGTCATACATGAAACATTAATGAAATGGTCCTTTTGAACAAGAACGTGAGTATGCCAGGAAAGGAAATAAAAAAGACAGAAATCTTTATTCATAGTAAAGCAATGTGAAAACCCAAAATGTGTTGCTGTTGCTATACCCGATAACCTGATCTGTGACGTTTTACAGACAAAACATGAGCAAACTGAAACAATTGTCAACATGAGGAGAATCCACAAAACTGAATAACCATCAACAGATATATATTTCCGAGGTAGTGGAGAAATTCTACGTATGTGCAGCTCAATTCAATTTGCATCTGTATAATACAAGAAACGAAAAAGTATGGGACCAATAAAAGAAGAGAGATCAGCTCTTACACAAATTTATTCAACAGCCTCTAGAAACACAATGAAAAGATTCTATTTATCTATGAAGACAATAGGGGAAAACATTAGGTGATAATCTGCATAGGTAAGGTCTATTGAAGCAAGTGGACTTGAAATTACGAAATACCAAATACCTGTTGACAATAATTAGGCCAAAAGACATTTTGATAACATGGCACAACCTTGAGCAATAAATGTTAACTTTACATTTTCAAATTTGGATTTTTTTTCAGAGATGACCTCATATTTTCTCTAATGTGACCAAGCAGTGTCATTGCAATGCACTAAGTAATGTACCATGGATCAAGGTACGTAACAATTTTCTTACATAACTTCCACTTAGTAAGGTCAGTAGTTTCTGAGAAAACTTGTCCCCATTGTACACACACCATGCACTAAGTTGATCAGAACGGAGCAAAGGCTAGAACTCTGTTTGGATGTGCAGATATTATCATGTTTGAATAATATTTCAAAATCAAAGTTACTATTTATAGCGTTGAGTGCACTTTTGATAGGATTTGAAAGAGGGCAGTATACTGTATTGGTTTATTTTCTTGCTTTGCTGCCTTCGATACCATGCTTAGAAACCAAACATAAAATTTACAGTGTGACATAAAATGGTCCACATCCATGTACGAAGCATACTTCTTAATTTATTCCATGTTGCATTTCGCTGTTCAGCTAAGTGAGTATTCAGGGTTCTGTTTTTTTGATAGACTGTATCCATCACGACAACCTGCAAACATAAGGTAAGTCAATGAATAACTTCAGAATTTCATTGTCATAAAGGATATATCTCCAGAAACTTATTTTGGTTACCAAACCAGTCCTTTGCCATACTACCACCAAATGGTGATATTACCAAACTTTTTTTTTATGAAATCAATAAATGATTGACAATACCATGTATGACACAAGTTAGGATTTATTTGACAAACCGCAATTCAAGTCTTAGTAAATCAATTGAGGGGAAAATATTTTAATTTGGCTTAATTAAGTAAGTAATTAACAGAAATTTCCAAAAAATGTGAAAATTGTTCTATTGAATGGTATTCTGGTTGTAACATATCATTTTAAAGCTTATGACAAGACAGTGCCATTTGTTACTTAACTTACATCATAAAATTAACTAGACCATCATAAACTAAGTTTTAATTGATTTTGAATTAATTAGTATTATTTACATACAAAATTTATGACTAAGACCCTTGTAACTATTCTTTTGAAAGGCAATATTAGTCAATATGTATTAGTGTTATAATGGTTATATAATAAGCATACCTATTAAAATATTAATGAGATTACAAACTTACAAAATACATTTCCAACATGTGATTTATCAGATCAGATAATCGGAGATGTGTCATGGTTTGGCATGTCCAACAATTCCAGGTTGTGGCTTGTTTACATGAGAGTATCAGTCAGTTCATAAGATGCTAGACTGTTTGAAAACAACTTGAACACAGAAGTAATAAATTCCACTGTTTAAACTGGTACTGTCATTTCACTGAAGACACTCATCACATAATGATGGATTTGGATTTTTCAGCCAACATAAAAATGATGTAATGTTCATCTTCCTGATCAGCTACACTCGAATTGGCACAGCTGACACCCCTCCAGTCGCCACACGCAGTGGAGCAGTCAAGACCATGCTTCCTGCAAGAACATCTCATAGACGTACACTCAGTTTTACAGTTGCATCTGATCACTTTCAGGAGGGATTGAGGAGCCGCTGGCATATCTGTCTGAATAGGTGTTAACTTGCCTTGGCAGATTTTCCAACCCAAGTCTGCTGGGTTCATGTCAGCTGATCTGTCTGCCCATTCTTGAACCTGGTAGAACACTCTGTAACTGTGGAACTGAGCATCATTTTGAGTTAGGGGTAATGACTGGGGCTGGACACAAGAAAAACTGGTTGACACCTTTTCACAAAACTTCCTGTACCTGAGTTGGTCTAGGGTTACACCAGGGTTTCCTCCATATAGGCACACAAGAGCTTCTTCTCCTGCCTTTGCTACATATAAATTTTGACAATTGTCCCAAATTACTGTAGACATTAATCTGATGCAGTTTACTCAGAAGCTGTTTAATTAAGTTCTTGTAGCTGCAATTACACTAAATTGTATGGCCTGTCATAAAACATGGTGAACATCAGTATGATATATGATAATAATAACTTATTCATACTGTCTCAACTCAATAACTTCTCACTGGTGCCATAACAACACAACTATACTTGCAGCTTCATGCAACTTGTTTCTGATCATAACAACATACCAGGTTTCTGCCTGAAACCATTAGTTCATAGAAAAATATGCCATCCTGACCACATGCTTCAAGGTTTCTGCCTGAAACCATTAGTTCATAGAACGATATGCCATCCTGGCCACATGCTTCCACTGTCCTGTGGCAGTAAATGTTCACCACTGTCCTTGTGGTCATTCCTTATCAGGTAACTCCATGCCATGATGATCTTACCAGCATGGATTTTCAAAGAACCATCTGCATAGTTATCCTGCAACTGGTATGTGTACACTTCAGAGTCATGTTCATACTTCACATTATACAAGGCAGAATGTCCAGGAACAGTACTGATTACATATCCAAGTTCCCCAAGGTTCTTCTCAAGATCCAGAATCGTTAAGGACACATTATTTCTGCTGTGGGTGTTGAAGACACTCCTATCATGATGTTCCTGGTTCAGGACATGTTTTCTTAAATTGAGCTGAGCGCAAAGGGCTTCCCTGCATTCTTGCTTTGTCTTGGACTTCATAAGGTCACTGACGTTCACACGGATATCTTCCTCCGACTGCCACATACCATAATAGATAATGCCACAGGTCAGTTTTTCCTTTTCCTGAAGTTCTCTTTGCCTTTTTCTCTGAAGTTACAATCTCTTCTCTTTCTAAGTTTTTTCTTGTTTCTGTGATGTCCTCACAACGAAACTTGAACTCCTTCTTGATTTCCCTTTTCAATGTGTGACACGTCTTGATCAACTCATTGCGCTCATCTTTTGGCTATCAATCTATTCAAATTTTTCAAAAACATTATGTATGCCTCATTGCACAGAGTTGTTGCATTTGGCCGCACAGTCAGTAGGTGATCAAGTAACCCAAATATACTTTCGGGAAACTTGTTGTGCTTCAGTGTGGATTGAGTGAGAGTTCTCATCTCTGGACTGACTTTCTCATGGTCACCTCCTGGTAATGATCCTTTACAGCCTTCTCAATATATGTTATCCATGCTTAAAACAGGGACTGTCACATCTGCTGACAAATGACATCAACATCAGGCTCTGCCAGTAGATATTCAAGGACTTTGTCATCTTTCACATGGTCTGGAAAAGGTACTTGTTACCCAGCTAGGTATGCCGAGCTATCAATTGATGCCTCTCTGAGAAATGTCAAAAGACGAAAATGATGCTGATTCATGTCGAGAATATGTCCCTTGGCTTCGATCACTCTCCACAATGCTGATGTCACCTGCTTCTCTATCAATGCTTGAACTTTGGAGTTAGCGTGAACTGCTGTCAAAGAGTGTGTTAGTTTTCCCATGAACGTCTCCTATGAATTCCGTAATATCTTTGGAGTAGTACTTAGTAAACTAAGCCCCCATCAACAAACATAATATTGAACCTATTCCCACGAAAAGGTGCAAATCAGGGGATCTCATCCCTTTGTTCTTCGATTTGGTCTGTAAATGCCCTGTAAGGTCCGTTCTTCTCGTCCCCTCCTTTTGTGAATGCTTTGCATGCTGTCCTCACATAGCGAACTGTTCCAGCTTCAGACTTCTTTGTAAACATTGTGGTTTCAGACAAACTAGCAGCTCCTGTATCTGCCATGTCTAAACTAGACTCGGAATTTCTTCGGGGTAGTGTTGGTCAGCTCTGCTAAGTCTACAAGTAGGTGTAGTCCACAAAAACACAAAAAAAATTGTACATCTTAGCACAAGCACCCATATGTTCCTCGGTCAAATCCTGCCAGTTAGCCTTCACTTCTGGAAGTATTTCAGATCTATACTGAGATAACA